CGTCTCGCCAACCTTGTGAGACTTTGGAATCGCGCACTGCGGCGAAATAACAGCAGTGAACAAGATCATCAAGTTATAACAAGTTACAACAAGAACAGCTCAGCTTAACCGTTCAATGCTGATATTGATTGACTGCCTCAGCTCGTTGTATGTCCCGATAGTGTAAGGGATAAAGAGCTCGGTATCAGGAGACCTCGACTGCGGGTTCGATGTCTAAGTTTTGCCTATAAATCGTCATCCTTGTGACGTTATTATAGTTATCATCAATGTTATAATTTTTATTACTACTATAATATCAAAACACATTTCTTGCGTTGATAGGAAAGCATTTTAGGATTTTAGGGGTACTTCTACAACTACTAGGAATATTATTATTCCTAGTAGTTGTAGAAGTACCCCTAAAATCTATCCCCCCTATCTTGTAAGCTTTTAGCGTGATTCTAAATAGAAATAAGTGACACCTCAATGGGCTAGGTGTCGCCGCATTCTAACATGGTCTTCGTATTACTGTGACCTCAAAGTAGTACTGGCAATGCTACCCTCATCTTAATATCAACTCGAGTACTTATTAGCAGTTGCTATGAGAGAATTTTATCGTTATTCCCTTTGACAGAGCCTTTAAATCTCTACCAGAGCCTTGAAGTCTCTACTTTTCTTTGACTTTGTTATCATTATTTTTAGTATCAATGTTTACATTGAGACAAAGAAAATCACGAAAACCAACGAAACGCGTCATAGAAGAAGCGATGCGTTTGCTCAAAGAAAAAAATGTCTCATCAATTGCTGGCGGAAGGCCAGAGTTAGTGCTGAGCACGTCCGGTCGTGCCAATACCTTATGGTGCCCCTCAAGTGATAAACTGTGGTAAAGTCCATCGCGATGGAACTTCCTGACCCACTGTTCATGGTTACAGAAGGCGTAGCTCTTTTTAATGAATTTTTTGTTGAAAGTACCCTGAAGTAGACCTAATAGAGCGTTGTCAGCTACTATTTCCCCAAGCTGTCAAGTAAAAATTAAAAAGCTGCTATCGGTACCGCCTAACTAAGGAGACGCCGTGCATTTAGAAATCCTTAAGAAGAAAATATTTTTTCTCGTATTTTTTATGTGGACCTTTGAAAAACGATTGTTTCATAGAAAAAAGTCTGGTTTGTTTAAAAGAATAAAGTCTTGTATGTCCATTTAAGGGATCCCAACGCCATGGTCCAGGTCCCAGAGGTGACAGAGAAGTCGAAGAAAGATTTTGCTTTCCCAAAGGTAGCCCCCTTGAAAACATTATGCAGTTCGATGTTGTGAAATTTTCTTTACAGGTTGAACTTCATCTTCATCTTGATGGATCTATACGGTTTTCTACATTGCTCGAACTTTCTCTGTAAGTTTGGAAATCATCGGAATGACGGGACCGAGAAAAAGTCCTAATTTCAGAGCCCGTGGTACACCACTGAAAGGAGCAAAGACTGTCGAAGAGCTGAAAAAAGTGCTCATCACTCATGAACCGGCTAATCTCTCTAGAGTCCTGGAAGCATTCGATCTATTCCTTCCCATTGTTCGGTAAGGCTCAAGTACATTTTTTCATACGGAAATTCTTTTTTTTGGATGGGATTCTCCCATTGGCAACTCCCAGGAATGTGTCTGGGACGTTATCGTGGCGTCTGCAGTATTTTAGGTTTTATCAGTAAAAATTATCCGATTATCGACAAGTACTCCACTCGAGCCGTAAAAAAGATTACGTGAAAGAGTTCCAAATAATTGTCATGGTTCTGGCGCCAAAAAAACCTGCTTACGATGGTTATTGATTTTTCGGTATCGCGCCGCGCACACAACTACTTTTGACATCGTGCATTCAATTCAATGAATACGAAACAAAAGAAGATCATGTCGTATGAACTACAATCTACTGCAAAGCTTTCAGCGGCGATAAAGCTGCCATTGAGAGGATTGCATATGAAATGTGTGAAGATCAAGCTGCTAATGGAGTCATCTATTTTGAAGGACGATATTCACCCCACCTGCTTTGCCTTCCAGGTGGAGAGGTATTTGTTATTTACTATTTACTATTTTCACATATTCAAAAACATTTGCTCGAAACCTCACAATCAGATGTTGCCTCATGACAGCTCATGGGATTAATTCTATCCGCCCTACATTCCGCGCGGAGGATAGGATTCATCTGCGGCAAACTTGACGCTAGTTTAGTGAGGAACCCGGCTTTCAGGCTCTGCTTGGAAAATTGTTAAAAGACTAGTTTGCCCAACTCATTCCTCACTCTTTTTTGCTTTTTCTTTGCTCTTTTTGCTCTTTTTTGCCCAACGCGCTATGACTTCAAGAGGTAGCCCAGAAATCACCTTTACGAATAGATTGTTTTCAGCTGACCGCTGTAGGAGTTGTGGAAGCCGTGAAAAGAGGTTTCGATCGTGGTGAAGCTCAGTTCGGTGTTAAGGCCAGATCGATCATATGCTGTATCCGAGGTCTCGATCAATACGCTGATGACGTTCTTCAGATCGGTCGGTTTGTATGTATTTACACACTTGCTCTGCTTGGAGTCATGCAAGACCCAAATGCCTATTAGGTTTGAAGGGAAGGAGGTTTGTTCAGCTCGTGAGGAGGAGAGGGGATGGAGAAGGATCCCCAAAATATTACAGCCTCTTCAGTCAATTATCATATCTTCCCTTTATCGAACTCGTGGCGCATACTATGTGGAATGATAAACACCGACCACTTTATTGTTTGCCTTGTCCCTACTTTTCGAATCTAACGTTACGATATCGAACTACTTTTCAGCAACGGACTGTCGTCATCTTGGTGTTGTTGCGATAGACGTCGCCGGTTGTGCCCATGGTGCCGACGAGCAGTACGAAGCCAAGATTGTACACATTTTCCAGGTTCGTCGTCTTCGGCTTCTAATCGAATCTGATTTTCGTATAATTGTGATT